TTGAATCTATCAGAAAGAGACTCAGCAGGTGGAAGAATACTGATCAGTGCGTCTCTAAAAATCTGTGCCTTGGTAGAAAAATGCTTCAGCCTCAATATCAGCAGCTGGCAGCTTATTTTCAACACTTATTTATCTTCTGACAGCAGATAATTCTATTCAGTTTATTTCTATAGCTCCAATTCTCATCATGTCATCTCAGGTCACTTTCCAGTTCACCAGATCATCCAGTCAGATTGATTCAAAGTTTTCTATCTAAGGAAAACCAGCTGATTGCATCGACTCATTCCTTTTCCTCTCCACCGTTGCTGCCAAAACAATCTGCGTCAGGGATTTCACCAACTGCAAGCAAATGACTACTGTCATCCAGGAGGAGCAAAGAAACATTTGAACCAATCTGACTAAATTATCTCTGTAAAGAACCTTGGGGGTGAATTGTTGTGAATGTGCACTATTTACATAAACTAAATAGAATTTGATCTTTGCAACTCTTCCACAGTCACATGTGCATCCGCACTGCTTATTGTCACTCATGTTAACACCTGATACTCACTTAATCCTCACTAACGTTTCCTTCTTTGGAATTAAAAGGTTTCAAAAATACAGGGTTGAATGGGAAGAATCAAATCCCTGACTGAATAACGATGCTGATGAGTACAAGGAAAATGATTAATCATGTCAGGCTCTAAGCAAGAGTTCACAGCGACTCACAGTGGACTAGTCGTTTCATGTTTATATGGATTTCATGATCATTTTTTTATGTAATTTAGTCAATATGAGTGACTTTCTAAAGAGTAAATCCTGGTAAAAATAATGAATTAAGTATTAATAAAGATCAACAAATATGGCTAAAGTAAGCATGTTGTTTTTTTTTAGTTTGAAAGTGTTTTTAACATCTTTTTTTGTGGATTGTATTTTTATTGTAAGAACTGAGTATTCTGTCATCAAATATTAGGGAGTTATCATTAAAGTTTGATGCAATGGAGAACGAAGATGAGTTTGATGCTATTTTAGCTCTCAGAAGAGTTTTATAAGCATTTACTGCAGGAGATATTCAATGTTTAGTATATATTCCAATATTTCTTATTACAAACTAACAACCTTTAGGTGCCACTGCCAAGTGGTTGATTATAGACATATATAACTGTAGTGTGCATAGGGCCCTTTTTACTCATTGTTTGCTAACTTTACATGCAGCAATGCTTTACCAAAAATGATCCATTGCTAATGGAGGATTTTAAGCTTCTTTTTTGAATACCTCTTTAATAAAAGTAGTGACATTAAATAAAAAATTCCACTGCTGCTTATTTTCATTAGTAAAATTATGGCAATCCTATAGGTGAATCGCACCGCGAAGCAGTAATCGAAGAGACAGTGGCTTCTTAGAAGAACCTCGAATATAAGACATATTTTCAGATGTTTCACTAATTGATAGTTTTGATGCCCTCAGTGTAAATCTACAATTTAGAGTCAATTTAAAAATAAAGAAAACTCTTTGAATGAGAAGGTGTCCCAACTGCAGCTTTGCATCTTTATTCCCTAAATAAGACGGATTTTTTGTTCAGGCATGTTCTCTTTAACATTAAAAATGACTTCATGCTCTTTGACATTTCAGTGTAAAGATATGGAAGAAAAATGCTAAAGATAAAATCTAGAAGAGGACGGCTGAGGAACCGTCCTGATTGGTCATCATGAATCCTTTAATGCAAAAAGAAAATCTTCTGCAGCCGCCTAATTACTTACTGGAATCAAAGAAGGAAGTGCACGGTGTGGGGCACTTCCTGGGAGCTGGGTTGGGGTCTCCCATGGGCAGCCCGTTCATGTGGAGATAGGTTGAGATTCGACTGGCCTGAACGGCCACCAGGTTGCCTCCTACACCTGTTCCAGGTAAACACAAAGAGGAGGGCAGGCGGAGTGAAAAAATCAGCACTTTTCAGATATGAACCACATGTTTTGACTCTTATCCTCACCGTTGATGACAGGAGTAAAAACAGCCATCCCAGCAAAGTTTGGGTCACTAACAGTCTTATCAAGAATCAGACCCCCAACACTGAAAGACAGAAAAGGTTCAGTTACCGAGAGAATGATAGAAAAGGATTAGCCAGATGGAGATGGACCACAGGTCCTACCTGCTGATTGCCATGGCGATGATGACTGGCTCCCAGCCAGAATAGAGGACCTCTCTGGTAGACGGGATCTTCCTTGCAATCAACACCCAAACAGGACACATGGCCACGAACGCCGCACACACCAGCGGGTTTGCATAGTCGTTATACTCTGAATGGGAGGAGCAAAGATCGATGTTTAACACCGGCCCAGTTTGACCACGCTGCTACGCCAAAGGTCAGTGATGTCATGAACCGACACAATCTGTGACGTTCCTTGATCTTTAAGTGTTGGTGAAGATTCTCAGTCATCCAGGTCATTCCAAAAAAAAAAAAAAAATCAATCCCCTGGACTTTGTTTCCAAGTTTGAAGACGTTTCTCTTCCATCCAGGAAGCTTTTTCAATTCAAAATGTCAGAAATAGCGTTGAGTTCCAGGTTTTATCCAGCAGCCCAACAAAGCCTGGTTTTAGTTTAGAAAACATGCAAATAGAAACGGATGAACGGGTCCCCCCCTTTGGAATGGGGGTCATTTGGCTTCTTTGTTAGCCTGCAATGCCCCATACCTGTCTATGTCTCTGAAAGGGGGGTTGTTGATGGCAGGAAGGAATCAACTCTATCGCTGAACTGTAGGTTTCTGAAAGCTGAAATCTGAGTCCTGGATGGGAAGCGAAACGTCTTCAAACTTGGAAACAAAGTCCAGTGGATTGTTTTTTAACTTTTCTTGATCATCATGATGCACCAATGTTGTCTAACCAACCTCCTTCACAAAGCCCCAGGGTTCGGTTTCCTTTGAACCACACCCACTGACTCTGTTTTCTAATTAAGGAATCTTCTAAAGAAAATATTTAGGAAAAAAAGAAAATCCCTCCATCTTATTATAATGAGCCAGGCAGAAATACCTTTGGAGGCGCAGTGCTTTCTGTGATGCAGTGTTACTCGACCAACACTGCAGGGGACTCCAAGCCACAAAGAAACACAACATCCGAGTAGACAGAGTGCTAACGAGTCCCAGACGCCAGCTGTGTTTGTGTGTCTAAGCAAAAAACATCCCAAATATGCCGAGTGTGGCGTTTAAAGGGAGCAAACTTATTTTCTGGCCTGTTTCTGACAGATGCGGGATTACGCCACGCTCTGTGGGCTTGTCTGTTTATGTGGAAAGGAGGGAGCGGCGAGGTAGCTCCGGGCGGCCGGGTGTGTCTCAAGCCAAGACGCTGTTAAAGTTCCTAACCTTAAAACCCAGCGAGGTGAGGCGTAGGAAGGCTTTCATCCTTATTTACCTCCCACTGCCGGCTTCGGCTCTCCACAACCACTATTGAGCATTTTTCCTTTGGATAAACTTTTCATGCACAAAAATACAGGTGCTTGGTTCCAGGTACTCAGAGATTCACTTCCACACAGAAAGCCCATATTCTGATACTTCAGCGATAGCATCAAGGTGTTGCTTTATTGTATGTCTCTTTCCATGTCCGTTAGTTGTGCTGTCCTTTTTCCATCTCTTTGCAGGTGATGAAGCAGCCTGAAGATGTTTTATCATTATCTCCTTTTTATCTCCTCTTTCTTTCATCTTTTCTCCTTTTTTCTGTTTTTCCTTTCCTGTTCTACTTACATTGCAGTGTCCATATAATCTGTAAAACTCCCTGCATGATTATAATAAAGCTATTTATATGCATAAATCAAGCGGAACACTATGGCGATAGCCATACTGCTCCACTGGTGAAAGTAAAATTTGTTGGGCTCTTTTTTTTGCATCAAGGCAATTATTCTTATTGCCACATTGCCAGACAGGACACTGGAAAAAAAAAAAAAAAAGAGATCAACTCCCTTGTTTGCTGATGTTCTCAGGTTCTGATAACTCGGCTCGTAGCTCTGCTTCAACAGCAGGATTTACACACCAAGACCTCACTGACTGAATTTCTAACATGTTTGATTTCACCCAGACCCTAAGATTCCTGATGGCGAGGTGTTCATTAGCGGCTGATCACCCCTTGTTAGCCGCTGTATACGACACCATGCAGGACGCACCATGAGGCAGAAACTCAACCCGTTCAAAAAAATTCTTACATCGGCATGAAAAACTCGTACAGTGTAGCCCGACTTTGATCATTTCGTCTGTGTACTACATGTGCTCTCTTTATTTAATTTAAATAAATATTACGAAAAATAAAGTTAAGCTTCTGGAATAAAGTATAGATAGGATTTAAAGTTGGAAACAGAAACATGTGAGAGCAGATTATTGCTCAGTTAGAGTTTGGTTAGAAATAACACTCATGAACATTTTTGTGAACATTCTTGAAGTTTTTCTTTCACAGAGAGCTTAAATGAACGTTGCACACTACTGTGAGATTATTCACCAAGTAACTGAATAATGTGTTGGGTTATGTGAAGCGACGGCTGGTACCTAGCTCCTGGTAGAGCCCCGTGGAGATGCCCGCCAGCAGCGACAAGGTGATCAGGTCTCCAAGGCTGGCGGCGATGGGTGTAGCCACATTATCGGGGTTGATGCCTACTTTTCTGGATGCGACAATAACTCCGATCATGATGAGACCTGAAGACAGCATCAGAACATGGAAAGCAAACGCTAAGTTTAGACTTTATGAGACATTTAAAGCTGAGCTCAGTGATGCCAAGAAGTCTGCACTAAAGGACGGATAAGACGCTCATGCATTCAGTGACGGGCTGAACTTATTACTGCAACCAGGCTACACAGACAAAACTAATATTTTAATTTTTTTTATTCATTGAAAGTGCTACTTTTCATTTTAAGTCATTATAAATGCAGAAATCTATCCTACTACAGGTTCTGATTAGTTTGTTTTTTCTTTAGCACTGCAGGGGAACTTTGACCCATTCTTCTTTGTCAATTTGTTTTATTTCAGCTACATTGTAAAGTTTATGGTCAAGCCATCCAGTGGCGGTTCTAAATAAATGTACCAGGGGGCCAGGAGGGGGCCAGGGCCCAGAAAAGCATGAAATAAAAAAACTGGGCAAGAGATTCAAATATATTAAAAGAGCTGCATGAAGTGAAATTTCAATTCAATTAGATTTAATTAAATTCAATTAATCAATATACATTCGGAATTTAGGAATTTTACATATTTTTGACTTAATTTAATTTAAAATACCCATTTTTTTATAAAATCTGAATTAAACTCAATAAAAACTGATAAATTCAGCTGTAAAAATTTGAGTTTTCTTTTTTATTTGTTTTGAAAAAAGCATTAAGCAGATAAAAACTTGGATCCTATCTCAGTACCACTGAAGCTATAACTTTATTTTATTTAAAATAATTAGTATAACAGAATCCGTAAAGAAAAAAAAAAAAAACAGAAATAGATCCAAAGGACCCATTAGTAACCACATAGCATCATAAAAGTTTCTTATATTATCTTAGTATTATGTCTTCAGTACAGGGGTCATAACAGGGGCCAGGACATGATCTACAGGGGCACTGGCCCCCATATGCCCCCGTCTAAACCGCCCATGAAGCCGCCTCCTGATTTGATCTGACTCCAGGCTTTGACTAGGCAATTTCACAGCCTCTAATTATTATTATTTTTTTCTTGGAGTCTCTATTGGACGATTTTTATTCATAATTCACTCGGATCAGCATGAGTGGAGAAAAGTCACCTTAATTAGGACATCGCTACGGTAACAGATAGGATTTACTCCCTTTGCTTCTACTATGTTGGGAAACAGAGTCCGACTCTGAGAATCACTGATCCAAATGATCTATTCAGATCATCCATTAGATCTGACATCAAAGCTGAAAACAAGATATATCTTTACGCTAAGAACTAAGCCTGTCTGTCTGTCTGACCGTCTGTCTTTTTGACCGTCTGTCTGACCATCTGTCTGTGAAGGTTAAAGTCTGTTAATATCTGAAATTATATTCTATTAATATTTGACATAAAAGCATAAAATGTTCTGGAGAATCTTCAGCCGAACAACCAAAGTCAGTCTTTTGAATTTGAATGATGCCAGTTCTGCCCCCTGCTGGGGGAGGGTGGTATCACAGCGTTTAGAACAGAAACCCGACTTGAAGTTCTGCATAATCACAGGTTAGATACAGACTCATCTGATTTTAGAGCAGTGGAGGACTCCATGAAAGAATGTTGAAAAAAAGGGTGATTATTGGACAGATTCATCTGAGGTTAACATTAAAATGGCCGATTAGCTTTTTAAATTTTTTTTTTGACATTTTTCATATGTAGATGTGTTTCTTTTTAAACTGCACAGGTTGTTCTAACAAACAGGATGAGCATAAATATTTCACACGCTTTCAGGGTCAAAAGACATCTAATATTCCACATGAATCCTTGTCATGTTTGCACAGGAACTGCAGTGACCAACCATGGCCAGATAAAAACAGATCCTCCATAAACCTGATTTGTGTGATAAACAAGCTGTTCAGACATTTAAAACCTTTATAGCGGCGACCGTACCCAGGAGCAGAGATGCGATGAAGGCCGTGGCCACGCTGGAGGCACACAGCAGCACTGCATGGCCCAGCTTGAACTGTCCCTCTGGGAGCCAGCCAAAGATTACAGCAGCTATGGAAGCCAGGAACCCCACAACTGTGGCCTGGACCTGGATGCAAACAAGCACACACACAAAGATTCAAATGTAGATTCCATTACTGTGAACATTTAAAGTGCATGAGACTATCCCGTTACGCTGAGAAGCTTTCAATCCATCCTGCTGAACCCAGCGTTGTCCAACGCCTGTCACTGGACACAACTATGCAATTACCACAACAAGCAGTGGATATGACACCCATGGCGCCGTAAAGGAAGCCCAGCACCTGTTGGTCGCCATGTGAGTTTGCTCCGACCATCAGTAGGAGGCTCCAGGAAACGTGATAGACTCTTTTAAATATTACATAATGTGCTGCCTCGTGTTGCAAACGGGTGAAGACCAGTTTACAGAAACCTGGAAGGAGCAGACTTAGAAAAGTCAGATATCCTGAGATAAAAAAGCTGATTTCATTAGCTAAATCTAAATAATTAGCATTGCTTCGTGATTAAGCTTCTCAGGTTGATGTTTTCTACCTAAAAGCGCAGATTTGTGCTACGTTAAGAATTATTTATGATGTTTTTCAAAGGAGTGATTGGATTTATTTATGATAGTTTCATAACAATTTTTTAAAAAGCCCCCTTTCAAGCTAAAAGGACCTTTTTTGCGATATTCAAGTTTTCAATGTGAAACAAATTTACTGGAAATAAAGAAAGGAGGAATTAAGGAGGCCATGCTGGTGTTAGGTCATCATACCTTGATCATATGCTTGGCTGTAGAGTCAACAACGTAGCACAGACCACAGTGGTGGAGCGAAGTTTTACCTAATATGTCACTTATGGCCAACTTCTCTTTAGCGTATCAGCTAGCATCAGTGACATTTCATGCCATCCAGAGACGTTGAGAGAGAAATGTTATCCTGACACTGAGCCTGGTTCTGCTGGAGGTTTCTTCCTGTTCAAAGGGAGTTTTTCCTCTCCACTGTCGCTACAAGCATGCTTAGTGTGAGGGA